AGACAAAAACTAAACATTGACCAATGAACCATGAAAATAAGGTCAAGGTCAGTTGATAGCTGCCAGACAGACATGTACATCTTACAATCATTCCATACAACAAATATAGTTGACCTACTGCTTATAGTATTTGAAACACAGACCAAAACACAAAAAAAACAAGCATTCTGAGAGTATTGCATGGCAATACATAGTCCCCTACCAGTTAAAAATTAATTGTACTGGAACAAAATGCTAACTTGATCTATAACTTGTCATGGTGTAAACTATATAACAAATATCAAGTCAATATCTTCAAGCATGACAAAAAAAAGTGTGGAAAACTGATAATTTAAGTGAATTTTCTAAGTCCAAGGACCATAACTCTGCAAAAAATCATTAAACCGAAACAAAATTCAAAACTTGGTCTGTAACTTGTCATGATAAAACTATATACCAAGTATCAAATCAATATCTACAAGCATGACAAAAAAAAAAGTGCGGAAAACTGATTATTTCAGTGAATTTTCTAAGTCCAAGGACCATAACTCTGCACAAAATCATCAGACCGGAACAAAATTCAAACTTGATCTGTAATTTGTCATGATAAGACAATGTACCAATTATTAAATCAATATCTTCAAGAATGACGAAAAAAATTGCGGAAAACTGAATATTTGTGTGAATTTTTCAAGTCCAAGGACCATAACTCTGCACAAAATTATCAGACCGAAACAAAATTCGAACTTGATATGTATCTTGTCATGATAAAACAATATACCAAATATCAAATCAATATCTTCAAGCCTGAAGAAAAAAAGTGTGGAAAACTGATTTGCCAGACTGACAGAAGGACAGACAGACGGACAGACAGACAGACGGACGTAGTGCAAACCTAAAGTCCCCTTCGACTTCGTCGGTAGGGGACTAATTAACATTAACCAATTGAACATGAAAATGAGGTCAAGGTTGGATGACACTTACCAGACAGACATGTACATATTACAATCATTACATACATTAAATAAAGTTGAGCTATTGCTCATAGTATCTGAGAAATGGAGGTACTTTTAAATTTGAACACTGATCCATGAAATGAGGTTGAGGTCATGTGAACTCTGTCTGATGGATATGTAGACGTTGCAAAGAACCCATATACCAAATACAGTTATCCTATTACTCATAATAAGTGAGAAATTCAAATGACAAAATAACTATAATTTTTTTCAAGCAGTTGCTGAACTATGAAAGTTAGGTCAAGGACAATGGACATATGACAGACGGAAACATCACAACATAAGGTATCTGCATACAAGGTTTAACTCATCCAGGTCTTCTACCTTCTGAAATATAAAGCTTTTCACTAATAGTTTACACTGCAGCTGCCAGTAATCCCTATGTCTCGCATACTGCGACCTTTTTGAGCTTGATAATACATAGATACTGAGAAAGACAACTAATCCTAAAAATTCATGACCTTTTTGAGCTTGATAATGAGAACAGTAATATGTCTATGTATATTTTTTGTCTTTCAAGGCTTTTCACTTGCTAAATAAAATGATTTTTTTTTTATCAATCTTATAAATAATGATAAATGTTTTTATTACAAAAATTCAAATCTGTGATTACTTTAAACAAATATCACAGATTTTATTAAACTTGCATATTGAACTGCAAGAAGATATAAATCAGCACTAAAAATCTAAACCGTTAACTATTAAAATTTCTACAGAGAGCCTAGATTCATAAGAAAACTAATCTGAAAAGATATAATTTGACATATGCAAATGCAACATTCATTCCTCAAATTGCTGCTGTGGCCATTAAAAATGAACTATAATCTTATGCTTTTCTACAATAATCAGTTGTAAGAGCTATGGAATTAAAATGGTGACAAATATTATATTGTGAACGATCTCTTTCCTGTTTCTTTAATGACTCTGTACTTTGATTACAATGACAGATCATCATCAGTGTTACAAATAGGTTAATCAGCCTAACAAAATTCTCTTATAATAAAATATCATTCTGTCTTTCAATGCGATGTCCCTGTGGACAGAAGCTGTCTCTGACCGATTTAAGGAACAATGGTTAATGCAAGTGTTGTAGTTCACATGAGTTAAAACATAGCTTTAGAATGCAAGGCTAAAACATATTATGTCAAAATAAATAAAAGGAAATGTGGGGTTTATTTCAATGAGACAACATTAAACTAGACAAAGTGATGCCCCCGCACTCCACTCTGAAGTAACTGTATTATAACAAAGTCAATGTACAACTTTCTTTGAGATATTATTGTGTCTGGGAGACACAAATGATGCCCCCGCAGATGCAAAGTGTTATTTTAAAATACACAAATTTGAGCATGGGAGCACCTAGGTCTATGGTTCACTGTAGAAGGAGTTATCTGGAAAACCTATGCACCTCTTATGCAAGTATATACTCCAAAAGTGACAAAGTTCAACTATCTCCCAAAAGAATAAATATTAATAAAATTCAAAACCCTGACCACATGCACATCTTCAATATATGTACAAACAGCCAGCAAAGTGAAAACTTCCTAGCATTCAAACTGTAGGTGGAGTTATCTAGAATAGCTTTATACCCATAATGGGACGGACGGACGGACAGGGGTAAAACAATATGCCCCCCCAACTTTCAGTTGCTGGTGCATAAAAATAAAAGAAGAATGTGTCTGAAGACACGAATGACCCCGCTCAAGCTAGCTTATAATACCTGAAAATACTTTTGATGTCACTGCTAGTTTTTAAAGTGTAATAAGTTTTCTGATAAGTTCTGTTGTGTCCAGTGAATTTCTCAGTTCTTGTATAATGCTTTGGTTCTTTCACTTCTAATCTCTTGTTAGCTTTACTTGTTTAATTGGTAAACTAAGCATTTATGACCTTAATAGTAGTTAAGTGAAGATCACACTTTTTGTTCTCTAAGTTTATTTTTATGCATTATGATTTTATAAATGTTGTAATTTACCTAATACATAAAAGCTATTTCATTGAAACAAAATATTCTTAATATGACTTTCCGATCTATGATTGCATTATATTTTCCTAGAGTTATAAAGGAGCATAACTCTAGAACAGCAGACATAAAAATAGATCAAAGACATCTTCAAGGTAAAGTTGAAATCAGAATAAGCATTTAACCCTCCCCTTACAATCTCTTTCAGTGGAATAACAAATGGTAAGTAGAGGAAAGTATTATAAACTTTAACAAGAATATGCCCCCCCCCCCCCTCCCTCTGGGTAAAAACCTTAATATTGCATCTATTTTAGAAAGTTCAAATGATAATGAACATGTGTACTAAGTTTCACGTTGATGTGACTATGATTTCGTACTGGTTTCACAATATCACATTTCCATGTTCAGTGAACAGTGAAACCTTAACTTTGCTTACTGTAAAGTCAGAAAGTATTGTGATGTTTATATTAATGCAAATAATGCGACTGGGTTAGTATCACAATTATAAGAACTCGCGTTTTGAATTCATTACACATATTTGTAAAAGGATTTTCCTTAAATCGCAATAATTAATCTCGCATTTTTGTCTATTCTTCTCAAATCTCAATAATAAATGCATGCAATAATTTCTGAATTTACAGTATATACTTTAAAAAATTTATATCATAATGAACCTGTTTACTAAGTGTCAAGTTGATGTGACCATGACTTCATGTTAAACTACCAGAAACCTTAAGTTAACTGATTTCACAATATCACATTTCTATGGTGTTCTATTTCATGTGGTAAGTGATCTAATTCTTCAAGACTCATGCATATCAAGTTAAATGGATTTAGGTCAAACAAATAACTTAAAAACTGGCTTCAGATCTGAACCAATACCTAGAGCCTTCAAACAGGACAATTGAATTAAAACCTATAAGTGTGCAAATGAATACCAACAGCTGTACACGACACACCTATGTGAGGGAAGTAGTATATAACCTCTTAATAAGGAATTAATATATAACCTCTAAATGAGGAAGCAGTAAACCTCTAAGTGAGGAAGTAGTATATAACCTCTATATGAGGTAGTATATTACCTCTAAATTAGGAAGTAGTATATAACCTCTGAATGAGGAAGTAGCAAACCTATAAGTGAGAAAGTAGTACATAACCTCTTAATGAGGAAGTAGTATATGACCTCTTAATGAGGAAATAGTATATATCCTCTTAATGAGGAATTAATATATAATCTCTTAATGAGGAAGTAGCATATGAAATCTAAATGGGGAAGAAGTATATAACCTCTAAATGAGGAATTAGTTCATAACCTCTCAATGAGGAAGTAGTACATAACCTCTAAATGAAGAAGTAGTATATAACCTCTAAATGAGGAAGTAGTTTATAACCTTTGAATGAGGAAGTAGTATATAACCTCTAAATGAGAAAGTAGTATATAACCACTAAATAAGGAATTAATAAACCTCTAAGTGAAGAAGAAGTAAAAAACTTCTAAATGAGGCAGTAGTATATAACCTCTAAATGAGGCAGAAGTATACAACTTCTAAATGAGGAAGTAGTATATAACTTTTTACTGAGGAAGTTGTAAATCTCTAAGTGAGAAGTAGTATATACCCTCTAAATGAGGAATTAGTAACCTCTCAATGAAGAAGAAGTAGACCTCTAAGTAATGAATCAGTATATAACATCTAAATGAGGAAGAAATAAACAACCTCTATATTAGGGAGTAGTAAATAACCTCTAAATGACAAGGCAGTAGTACATAAACTTCTAGATGAGGAAGTAGTATATAACTTTAACTGAGAAAGTTGTAAACCTCTAAGTGAGGTATAATATAACCTCTAAATGAGGAAGTAGTATTTAACTTAATTGAGGAAGTTGTGTATAACCTCTTAATGAGGCAGTAGTATATAACCTCTAAATGAGGCAGTAGTTCATAACCTCTAAATGAGGAAGTATTTATAACCTCTAAATAGGGAAGTAGTATATAACCTTTAAATGAGGACGTCGACATTCCCATAGCATATAAGATCTATTTTTACCTGTGTAATTTATAGGATCATTGCTTCCAGTTGTGGTGTTGCTCACAGTAGAGAGAACATCATCTTCTGCCATTACAAAACAAACTCTTCTGTGTTGTCATGGCAAACAACTTGGCCAATTTCTGAAAAAGTAACTTCAGTGTTAGAATCATCATTTCTTTCCTGTAATCAATTATCTGTAAGATAAATTCATATCAAATTCAAATTTACCAAATTTCCATTTTCAATATTTGTAAGTTAATGTTCTGATATCATAGAATTGAAAGCTAGATTAGGCAAATACAAGGCCATGGCTAATATACAATGGAACTGTATAAAGGATATTAATTAAGTTACATAACAGCCATAATTCAATAGATGAATCTTTGTAATATGATGTCAGTTTAATTAGAGCATAAATGTGCTTCTACATTCCTGTAGTAACTAATACCATTTTATGGACAAATAACGCATGGTAATTAATATGGACTACTTGCATATTTTGCTTGTTAGTTTGTTTTGGTTTTGAAGGTCATGCTTATTTATGCAAGAGGCATATTGTTCTAAGCTTACATGAAGACAACTAACCAGCTGATGTCATAATTTTTTCAAGATTAAAAAAAACAAATAAAAAGAAGAATATGTGTATATAGAACACCATGTCTTGCTCCAACTATCCCATTTCTATATTCGTTGCAATTGTATCTCTTAACAACATATTAGATCAAGTTCCCCCTATATTAATACTTCATTTAAATAAAATGAACACATTGTGAATTTTGGGTCCAAACCCTTATTTGGCATAGAGGACTGATGGAAGGTAATAAACTAATGTTCCATCAGGAAAAGGGACAGAATTTATCTCCAAGGTCTGTCCACTTTGACACATATTCAGTTAATTAATCATTTTTACATTTAATTTCTGTTGCAATGTATAAAACCATTAAAACCATAAAACCAATAAACTAATTTGTAACGTTTTTGGAGGGTTTTGTGCCTTGATGATTTTCTGACTTGGAATTTAATGACTATAAGCTGCACCACAGTTACACATTGGCATTTAATACAAAAAAGTAAGTATATGGCTCATAGCAAGTATTTGTTTGTAAAGTCATTAGATGTGACTGATTTCAAAATTCTTTATATATCAAGAGTCATTTTTTGAAATTCATTGAAACTTATTTTTCATCTGGAAGAGGAAGAATTACCAAAGGTTACAAATAATAAACCATTAACTTCAACACGTTCCTGGCATTTTCAGTAGTATTAGTTCAAAGTTTTCTGTTTTAATATATAAATAAGAAGATGTTGTATGATTGCCAATAAGACAACTCTCCACCAAAGACCAAATGATGTCACAGTAGAAATTTGTAACAATAATTTAGTCTATACTGCCTTCAACAATGAGCTAAACCCATACCACATAGAAAGCTATAAAAGGCTTCGAAATGTAAAATGTAAAACAATTCAATTGATAAAACTATTGGCCTGATTTATGTACAAAACAATAAATGAAAAACTAATATGATATACAGCAACAAATGACAACCAGTACTTGGATCACTCTGTCACTAAGACATTACTATAAATTCAGACATTTCTGTGAATATTTATTATTGCCATGCTTGTACAATGGACATAAATATGAATTTGATTATTACAATTTCAGGAAATACTCCAAATAAATCATGCAATCAAAATTTACAATGAGTTTTTATTTTTTGCCAAACCTATCCCGTAATAATTTCTAGGGTCATGACAAGATTACACTTACCGAACTTTAAAATATTTTTTGAATTAAAAAAATGTGCACTATATTTTTCTGTACCTTATGCTAACTTGTTAAATATCCTTGTACTGATGAAACTTGATGTGTCAAAATGGAGATAATTACATATTATCGTGATGAAATTTAGTTATACTTTATTGATAATCTCTGATATTAACATGTAAATTATGTATAGATTCTATATAACAACTTAACAAGGCTAATTATTTAACACAAGTGACAAGAGAAATTTTCAATGGTTATTTAACAATCTGTTGACACAGAGATATTGTCTCATTTGTATGTTATTTTGATAGTAAAATGCGAATGTTGAAATCAAGCAGTCCTTTAAACAATGCAAAACATTCAACATCTATGTATCATGACTGAAATTGTGAGGCCAAAAGTCTAGGGTTTCTATATAAATATCACCATGAAAATGGAAAATAAAATAGTTCCATAAGAGAAGATTTTTAAGTCAGGTTATCTCAAAATCTTACTTTTTCCCAAAAAATATACTCAGGTGAAATGTTAACAGAATTTTAGTTTCTGACCAGACAATTAGCAATTATCTAGCAATTCTCTAAAATAATTTACTTTAGGGGACCTTGTACTATAGGGTTAGGGTTTAGTTTATGTATAGAGCTAAGGTTTGGATTTGTTTTAGGTTAGGGTTAAGTTTTAGGGCTAGGGCTAGTGTTAGGATTAGGTAAGGATAAGGGTTAGTTTTAGGGTTAGAGTTAATTTGGTATAGCCCTATATAGGCTGCCTCCCCCTGAAGTAAATGAATCCTGTTTAATGTCTTATGAGGGTTGGCAGGATTTCTCCTAAAGTCTCATCTTGGTTTATTCCATAACCTCTGTGGTTGTGTCATATAAGGCTTTACTCTAAGGTTTATCATAACCAATGTGGTCTTGTCATATAAGGCTTTACTCTAAGGTTTATTCCATAACCAATGTGGTCGTCTCATATAAGGCTTTACTCTAAGGTTTATCATAACCAATGTGGTCATGTCATATAACGCTTTACTCTAAGGTTTATCATAACCAATGTGGTCATGTCATATAACGATTTACTCTAAGGTTTATCATAACCTCTGTGGTTGTGTCATATAAGGCTTTACTCTAAGGTTTATTCCATAACCAATGTGGTCGTGTCATATAAGGCTTTACTTTAAGGTTTATCATAACCATTGTGGTTGTGTCATATAAGGCTTTACTCTAAGGTTTATCATAACCTCTGTGGTTGTGTCATATAAGGCTTTACTCTAAGGTTTATCATAACCTCTGTGGTTGTGTCATATAAGGCTTTACTCTAAGGTTTATCATAATCAATGTGGTCATGTCATATAAGGCTTTACTATAAGGTTTATCATAACCTCTGTGGTTGTGTCATATAAGGCTTTACTCTAAGGTTTATCATAACCAATGTGGTCTTGTCATATAAGGCTTTACTTTAAGGTTTATTCCATAACCAATGTGGTCGTCTCATTTAAGGCTTTACTCTAAGGTTTATCATAACCAATGTGGTCATGTCATATAACGCTTTACTCTAAGGTTTATCATAACCTCTGTGGTTTTGTCATATAAGGCTTTACTCTAAGGTATATCATAACCAATGTGGTCTTGTCATATAAGGCTTTACTCTAAGGTTTATTCCATAACCAATGTGGTCGTCTCATATAAGGCTTTACTCTAAGGTTTATCAAAACCAATGTGGTCATGTCATATAATGCTTTACTCTAAGGTTTATCATAATCAATGTGGTCATGTCATATAAGGCTTTGCTCTAAGGTTTATTCCATAACCAATGTGGTCGTGTCATATAAGGCTTTACTCTAAGGTTTATCATAATCAATGTGGTCATGTCATATAAGGCTTTACTCTTAAGGTTTATCATAATCAATGTGGTCATGTCATATAAGGCTTTACTCTAAGGTTTATCATAACCAATGTGGTCGTGTCATATAAGGCTTTATTCTAAGGTTTATCATAACCTCTGTGGTTGTGTCATATAAGGCTTTACTCTAATGTTTATCATAATCAATGTGGTCATGTCATATAAGGCTTTACTCTAAGGTTTATCATAATCAATGCGGTCATGTCATATAAGGCTTTACTCTAAGGTTGTTTTTTTTTTTTTTTTTTTAAATGTGGTCATGTCATATAAGGCTTTACTCTATGGTTTATCATAACCAATGTGGTTGTGTCATATAAGGCTTTACTCTAAGGTTTATCATAACCTCTGTGGTCATGTCATATAAGGCTTTACTCTAAGGTTTATTCCATAACCTGTGTTGTTGTGTCAAATAAGGCTTTACTCTAAGGTTTATTCCATAACCTCTGTGGTTGTGTCATATAAGGCTTTACTCTAAGGTTTATCATAATCAATGTGGTCATGTCATATAAGGCTTTACTCTAAGGTTTATTCCGTAACCAATGTGGTCGTGTCATATAAGGCTTTACTCAAAGGTTTATCATAATCAATGTGGTCATGTCATATAAGGCTTTACTCTATGGTTTATTATAACCAATGTGGTCGTGTCATATAAGGTTTTACTCTAAGGTTTATCATAACCTCTGAGGTCATTTCATATAAGGCTTTACTCTAAGGTTTATCATAACCTCTGTGGTCATGTCTTAAAGGCTTTGCTCTGAGGTTTATTCCATAACCAATGTGGTCGTGTCATATAAGGCTTTACTCTAAGGTTTATCATAATCAATGTGGTCATGTCATATAAGGCTTTACTCTAAGGTTTATCATAATCAATGTGGTCATGTCATATCAGGCTTTACTCTAAGGTTTATCATAACCAATGTGGTCGTGTCATATAAGGTTTTACTCTAAGGTTTATCATAACCTCTGTGGTCATGTCATATAAGGCTTTACTCTAAGGTTTATCATAACCTCTGTGGTCATGTCTTAAAGGCTTTGCTCTGAGGTTTATTCCATAACCAATGTGGTTGTGTCATATAAGGCTTTACTCTAAGGTTTTTCATAATCAATGTGGTCATGTCATATAAGGCTTTACTCTAAGGTTTATCATAACCAATGTGGTCGTGTCATATAAGGCTTTACTCTAAGGTTTATCATAACCTCTGTGGTTGTGTCATATAAGGCTTTACTCTAATGTTTATCATAATCAATGTGGTCATGTCATTTAAGGCTTTACTCTAAGGTTTATCATAATCAATGTGGTTGTGTCATTTAAGGCTTTACTCTAAGGTATATCATAACCTCTGTGGTTGTGTCATATAAGGCTTTACTCTAAGGTTTATTCCATAACCAATGTGGTCGTGTCATATAAGGCTTTACTCTAAGGTTTATCTTTTTCAATGTGGTCATGTCATATAAGGCTTTACTCTAAGGTTTATC